TGTCATAAGCTCCGGCGAAGCGTAGGGAAGAGCGCCCGAAGTTAGTAGGCGTGTAGCAAGAGGTGAGTTCAACAGTAGCCTGGTTAAACTCCACCGCTGCACCCGTAAAATCCGTCCTTGTGTCAGCGGATGATACTTGGTCAGTAGCACGGAACTCAATGACTGTAGGGTCCTCGGCAAACCGGACCAGATCATTACGACGCCGCTTCACTAGAATAGACGCCTCTGAGATTTCTCGCTGGCCAGGCAGGCCACGCAGACAGGAATTTAAGGCGGCTGTCAATTCCTGGACATAAGCGCGGCACTTGGTATTCACTTCAGCGTTTCTCTGGAGAATATTAGCCTGGGCTTCGGGCGGCTGTGAGGGCTCAAGCACCTCCAGCTTTCGAGACTCGCAAACGAGTTGGTAGGCGATCTGGGTGGAGAGGACAGAGGAGTGGAGGAACTCGTTGAGCACCTCATCTGAGACACCACTTGGAGTTGCGGCGTCTGCGGCGGCTATGCACCGTGTAGCCTGTACCAGCCCAGCCAGCGCAGAAGACAATTGATTGGACGACGAACCCAACCAATCCTCCTCCTGATCTCTGCCCGATGCCGATGAACAGACTGAGTAGGCACTTGTGAGACTCTCGACAGCTGCGCCGATCTGGTTGCCGGCGTCTATGCCATCGCGAACACCGAGACTGAGGAGTTTGAAACGGTCATCCACCTAAAATAGCACAGTTATTTTTCTTTCATCATTCATATCAGACTCAATTCAAAATTGACAGGTTTAGAACTTGTGGAGACACATTAAGCGCCGGAAAAGTAGCCAAAACAGTTTATTCTTTGGTGCATCCTTTGGGCCCAAAACTCTCAAAAGGCGGACGGACAACTAAGTACATTTATAAAAATAGGTAAGCGTAGATGTTAACACTTATACTTAAAGATGCAATTATAAGCCTTGGGGAGGGGGGAGCGAGTCTGAATAATAAGCACGTAAACATTTCCTAGCTGGTAGCTCTTTAAAGCAAAAACTACCTCCAACTGAAGCTACTTATCTCAGATACGGATATATGTCTATTGTTTTCCCACGTACAGACCTATCTATTGCTGGAATGATAAACTAGTTGAATTTCAAGATTCTCCTTCGTGCTAATACTGCACTTGCGGCCAAAAGAGCAGAAGAATGGTACACTGATTCCGCAGTGGACAGTCTTAATAAAAGTTGGGACGTGTGAAAGCAACTATGAAGGTCTTATTAGGCATGCGAACGGACGTAGACAGAGATCTGCTTGAGCAACGCCGAAGAGAGTCACTGACGTACATTGGGGGGTCAGCGCAAGCAGTTGCAACTATCAGAAGATGTCCTTTCTATTTTGGAATCACAAGTATGTTTATAATGACAGCTAAGCTTCTTCATGACGCTTTACGCAACAAATCAGCACGCATGAAAGTTACTCCTAGG